ACGTCTAAAAGTGCATCAAAATAGCTGAAAACTGTTTCAAGCAAAGGCACAGTTCGAGTGCCACTGACAGGGTAGGAACGACTAATGCGTCAACAAGAAGACTCCAGGAAGAGTAGTTCAATCAGGAGAGACAAGTGAATGAAGTAAAGATAATTGGAGGTCTAGACACCGGTGGTGGTGGTTGATGACTCTGCTGAGGCTGATAGGATGATGAAATAATGAAGCTGAAAAATCTGCTCGACTAGGCTGTGATGGGCAGGTGGCAGAGTGTGCATAATAGCAGCATGAATGGACAGCAGTAATACGATACCGGTGTGACGCTGTGCTACTGGATAGATGTGACCAGCAAGGAAATTGTGCGTGAGAGGAGTGAATGCAGGATGGAAAGAGAAAATATTTAAACATCTCTATGCAAAACAGTAGTCTTCCTGACTGAACTTTTGGTTCATTTGTTGTCCGGGTCATAACTAATGAGGATCCAACTTAAAACTCTGAACACGCACAAGCATAAACTTACCCACTCAATGTGTTTTTCTTATTTTTTTCAGATCACTTCACCAACCCAGACCTTAATGCGGTTATTGGCTCCAAAATGGAAGGAAACAGTGACATGCAGTGAAACAGGCCCAGCAGTCATGGTGCTTCTCTTTTGTGCACTTTCTCTGTACAGAGCAATATGTATGGATTCTATTTTAGTAACAACAAAGGCACGGATAAGTTCGTCAGTCCACAAATTGTTAGGTTGATAGCGTTATTGTCGGATTGCTATCGTGCAAATTCCGGAAGCCAGCTGATAGGGGAAATGGTAACAGCCATCCTTAATGAGTGTGATTAAAGGTTAATGAGAAGAGGATGTCCTGTGGGTATTACGCATACAGTAACCTGTGCTGTTTGTCACATCGACAGCATGATTTTGAAGAGATAAACTCAACGCTGGAATTGGTGTTTACTCCTTGCAACTACCCTTTGCACCGGAACTGTGTGGGCCCAGTTGTTGAGCGGACACACTGTAGTCTGCACTGATCTGGACTCAACTACATGGACAAATCAAGATATAAAATTGACTTCACTTATTTATTTTATGAAGCAGCTTTGTGGTCCAGTGTCATCTCTTCTGTCCTTGGCGTCATTTTGTTATCTCTGTTTTGGTGCCATTGTGAAATTGGATTCACATTTGTGTGGCAAATAAAAATTATAAATTGGAAGAACCGCACTTAATAATAAAACTGAAGTTTTCAGACACACATTCAAAGAAGTGTAAATGTCATGAATGAGGACCATACATCTCGTGGAGTAGGTTTACTGACTTTAAAAGTGGGGTTTCCACATTGAACTCTTTACTGCTTACATTGGATTTAGCACAAGAACTGAGAACCAAGAACTTAACCTTCATTGTTACCTCTCTGTATTCAAGAGCTGCAGTTTTCTGTTTGCCGAGCTTTTAACTGTGTTTATCCACCCTTGTTTGTTGTGGCTAAGTAATTCCATTTGGATAATGCAGCTCTGTGTTGGGTTGCGGTGCGTTGGTTATATCAGCCCCGTCTCTTCCAGCTGTCATTTGAAATGATGTATAATTTGAGGAATAATGATAGCATCCTCATAGAACAACTACTCATCCAATCAAGAGTCCAAACTCCCTAATGATCTATTGTTAACTCAGCATTGTGTCTCAAGCATGTTATTTCCAAGTCTGCATCTTATTTATGAAACAATTAGAATAAAAGATGTAGTTTTATGTATGATGAGAATCCTTTAACCGTTTTTATAGGATTTGCCCGACAATGTTTATTTCATGGTTGACATCAGAATGCATCAATTAAAAAGACATCTTTCGAGATCCGCAACCCCTGTCTCTCTCTTTCTCTCTCACTCACACACATACACACGAACAGTGCTGTTTAATACCATGCACCTGCTCTGCCTCAGTTGAGGACAGGTAACCGCCCAGTCAACTCACATCAGACGTGGGAGAAAGGCAGAGGAACAACACGCTCATCCTCACGTTGTCTACATCTTGTTTTTTAAATTGTGTCGTTTCTAGAATCTTCCAGGGAGCAGACGCAGATTCTGTGAGTAATTACTAATTTGTACAAATCAAAAGGTTGTTTGTTTTTCTTTTTGTTTTCAGTCTTTGTGATGTGTTTACATTCACAGGTATGAAATTATGTTGAAACAGTAACGCTGAAATGTGTGGGTACAATACATATATGGTTTTGTATGTTTTAATGGTTATATATTTTTTTATATGTCTTTAATTCATTATGTAACCACCAAATAAATAATTAGGCATATAAATATTGTCTGAATTTACAAGAGACTATATAGTCTATAGTAGTACTATAAGGTCTTGGGACAATGTGTTATTACAGAGGTATCTATTATTCTATTTTTCCTAGTTTTGCTCACCCATTTTAAATAATTCTTCATATTTAAATAAGAAACCAAATCAATGGAAAGTAAACAAATTGTATGAAGGCAAAATACCAACATGCAAATGTTTGAGTGGGAACTCTAATATGTGAAAACCAATGAGGAATGCAAAGAAGCTTGAGCAGAGGTAGAGAAGCTATCAGAATGTTCCACAGTACATGATGTACATTACCAAACCTGTTTTTCACAGCGTGCTACCCTCCAAAGTCCATGTGGCCTCCCATAGGATGAGTAACAAAGATGGTAACTATAGGGAAGTATGCTTACAATTCCTCAGAGGAGGAAGTATGTCAGAAAATTGGAGGTGGCTCTCATGGAGACAGGTTCCATAACAACTAGAGATCTAATAACAAAATCCTCACACCATACCAAGATAACCTTTTCTGTTATAGAAAAGAATGCAAATCTATGCAAACATCACTGCTAGTATTTGTTGATATGAATGCGAATGCGAATGAATGTTTAAATTATGTCATTATGTTGAACAGACAGGTTCAACATAACTGGCAGGTCTTTTCACCATGGCTCCAAAAGGAGGAACATGTTTCCTTCTACTGACTGTGGCCTGTACAGCCTTGGGTAAGCAGCATGACATGCATCGTCTCCTCTCATAACCAGCAAGATGCATGAATGTTGTTTCTGTCTACATAAATGTCTTTTTTATAATTATTTGTTACTACCTTTTCAGCCATGAGCTCTACTGTGATGCCTTCAGACTTCAAAGACATGGCTAAAAAAATGGTATGTAATTTCCTGAATACTTCATCTTCCTCTGGAAGTAGTATGCAAACTGTAGTAGTATGCAAACAAAAACAACTGTTTTTGATTAGACACATTTTCAAGTCCAACACAGTTTAGGGTTTATTTGTTTTCTCTTTGGGCCAATAATAATAATTACCATCATCACACTGACATTGTGAAAAGATTTTCTCTTCCTGAAGTCATTCAAATGTTATGCAGGACTACAATAATAAGGGTCCATTTAATCATGGGAATCAAATTTTACCCATTTGTAGTAACTGCACTGGAATTTTTGGGGGCCAGTGAGGGTAAATTTATTGTATTTCTTATTTGAAAAACAACATTAAGGGAAGCAAAGTGGCTCTACCAATTGTTGGTTCTTACCCTGTGTTTGTATAGTATCTTTTGAGATTCAAGTTCAAGAGGTTTATTGTCATGTGCACAATAAGAAACACAGTGGTTTATACATACAATTAAAATCTTACTTTGCTCGACTCCCTTTACACAACACACAAATAGAAGAATAGAATAAAGTTAAAAAATATAAAATATAACAAAAATATAACATAAAACTTAAAATGCAAAACAGTGTAAGTGCAGTTAATTTAAATGCAGTGTCATTGTTTGAACATTGTTTTACACTTCTACCATAGATTTAGCATTTTGTATCGTGTTTATATACTGTATTTACCGGACATATGAAACCATATAAGTAATTAAGTGTTTTTCACGTTTATTTTGAATGCATGTTTTTTAACCACGTACAAACATTTTAAACAATTAAATATCTTACTTTATCTGATGCTGATATCTCTGTTTTTTATCAGATGAAGAAGTGCCAGGATGAGGGTGAGGAAATTCTCAATACACATTTTGTGTGTGAGTGACAGAGAGCAAGAGAGAGAAGAAGAAGAAGAGTGTTTGCATGCATCTGAACTCAAAATTCAAGTTAAAATGTTGAACTCTATTACAGCCTTAGACATATCTAATTGGCTCTGCAGTACAGTTATCATAAGTAATCGCAGTCCTCAGTGTATGAATGTGACATAATGTGTTTCTGCTAATACATAGCAAATACTCAGACCAGTCCTGATGGGATTTTTTTTTACTGTGTATATAAATATTAACTGTATATAAATATGGATCATTGTTATGTTAAAGGATACCCAGTGCCAAAGATGGCGTTGCTGAAAACTGTCTTCAATAACAGGTAATTCTGTAAACGTGTCTCCTAAAGAAATAAAAGAAAATTATCATATTTTCCTGTGAATTTTCAAGTATTGCAGGCTGTTCCTTCAATCTACCAGTTGTTCACATTTATAAAGTAAAAATAGACTGTGTTGAATTTCACTGGATAATTAAAGGATACAATTGATCAACAAATAAAACACAACATCTAATGTTTAAAACCATTTCTACTCACTCTTATTTCTCTCTCAGTGACATGCCTATGGAGAACAGAAACACTGGCCAAACCGACACCTTCCTATCTACCTTCAAGAGCATCCTGGATTCAGTCTCTCTCGTCAAAGGCTCACTTAGCCAAGCCCCTTTGGATGACTCAGATAAAATGGTGTGAAAACACACAGTCATGCATTTAAACCACATTTGATTTCTTCACATAAAAATTATATGAATAATAATTGGTTATTAATTAGTTTAGTTTTATTTCCACCTGTCATCTCTTTTTAGACAAACATGATGAAGAACTGCAGCTATCTTGCAACCATGATCAAGATGATGAGGAACTCCTCTGTCAGTATTCCCCACTAATGCCAAGAAGAAAAGAAAACATAATCCATTAATTAATGCAACTCTCTGGCAGTCTAATGATACCTGTCCTCTCTTTATTTCCCTCAGGACACATCTGCGTGTTACATGCATGCATTTATGGCCCCTCTGTCCTGGGTGACTTTGACCACACAGAGTGAAAACAACATGGAGTCGGATGACTATGACACACTGCTGTCGGCTGCAAAACCTGCACTGCAGGACATGCCTCCTTCAAGAATGAAACTTCCAGTCCAAGCCAAGCCCCAAAATGTGAAAAAGATGTGAGTGGGCTTTTATGCAGTTACTTCCTCCACGATCCCTCAGCAACTTTTGTTAAATTTCTAAAAATTGGTGGTTGGTTCCAGGATGAAGATGCTGCAGGAAGTGTATGATCCTATGTCTGAAGACCAAAACACTCAGGTGGTAAAATGGGCAAAACAGCAGATCACCCAGAACTACTTCAACTGTACAGTGACGCCATCACCTGACTCAAGATTAAGTAAGGAATTAGTTAAGCATATCAACTCAGAAACCACTTTCTACAATATAATGTAGTCACAGAGTCCATTAGATAGTCACCCTGAACTATTTATGGGAAAATCAGATATTTTAAATTCATAATCTAATACTTAAAAGGAAATAAACGTAAGACATAGGGCAGAGAAGCTAGAAAAGATAGTAAGCATGAGGTTGAAGAAGTAGAAGTGACTAAACAAAGGGAAGCACTTGAGAGATGAAGAGGCTGTAGAGAATAAGCTGATTTAAAGCAGTAGAATAATTTTGAATGAAGGATTAAAATAGAGAGAGAGGAGAACTAGGAGGAAGAGCAAGAGATAGATTACTTTCTCCAAGGCACAAATTAAAAAAAGATGCACTGCAGAATTATTTCCTGGGTGTAGATGTGTATATATATATATATATATACAATGTATATAAATAACTTTATATTGGTTCATTTTATTTCATATGTTATTCTATAAATGTTATTATCCTTCTCTATATGTGTAACATTAGGGAACTGCAAACATTAATTTTGTTACACAACCTTGTGTTGTATCATGATGAATACATTTTCTTGATTCCTAGAAAAAGCAGCATCTCGTACAAATCGCTTCTTAAATAATGCTGAGGAAATGGAGCAGCTGATTGAGAAGGACACTGACAAACACTAGGCAAATCTGGCGGAAACCTACCATGAACAAAAGTAGCAAAACAGTAATTGGACACAGGAGAAAACTGCAGAAAAGATGGAGAAAAGTCAAAACATGTAAGGTGACTGCGGAAAGGAGAGACCTGAAAAAGGAAATATTAGATATTACAAGACATTTTGCTAGATCATCATAAACTGAATGACATCAGCCGTAGATGAAATACTCATAGACGAACAAGCCGAATTCAGGAAAGGCAGAGGGTGCACAGACCAGATCTTCACTCTCTGGAACGTCATTGAGCAGTGTAGCAAATGGCAACGACAACTGTAAATAAACTTCATCGACTTCCATAAGGCCCACTGTGATAGCCATGGGAACATCCTCAGAATTTATGGCATTTTCAGCTTTTCCTGCACTGGGGCAAACAAAACCAGCTTTGCAGTAGGAGTAGGCAGTATGGAGTCATGTATGCAGATGTGTAATGTCAAAACTTTTATCCAACCTCATCATGGACTGGGTCATGCAGAGAACAGAACAACAGAAGATCAGGCGAGAGAAATTTGATGGACTCCCTATTCCATCCTTGAAGACCTTGACTTTGCAGATGAGTCACATACACATCACCACTTACAGGAAACAGTGAGACTCCAGTCCTTTGGGCAACAAGTTGGACCGGTGAACAAATCTGGAAATCTCACCAATACAGCTGGAATGCTGGAAAACATCCAAACAGGACACCCATGAATTATCTACCTTACTATGAAAAATTATGAATATATTCTGGCCAAACAGTACCTCCAACAACAACATTCTCAAAATTACTCAGCAAGATAAGATACAACAGACAACAGCAGTTCCCAAAATTGCGTTATTGAACCCCAGAGGCTTAATGAAAGAGAGGGAGGCCCAAAATAACATGGCGCTGGACCACTGAGAGAGAGCTACAACAATACCAACTGGAGGCCAGAGCTGGAGAAGGAGGCCACTGACATACAGAAATGGAGTTACTATCTCACTGTCCTTTGTGCCAGCCAGCATAATGGGAATGACTGACTGACTGATATATGTAAATCATACAAAACAGGTCAAGAAACAAACAATAAAACAGGCTGGAAACAATGCCTGAGAAGACAAAGTACAGTGCGGCATTGTGAGTGTCACAGAAAAACCGCACTTGTTATGTGTGTTTGTGGCACACATATTTGCTTATGTTTGCAAATGTGTTTGTATGTTTAGATAGGACCGTAATACAGGAAATCAGGCAAATCAAAAAATCAAATGCTGCAGACTTCACAATAAACACTCAACTCTTTCCCTAATGCACTGCCTCATTTCTGTTGTCACTTTTGTTATTATATGTTGTTTGAATGTGACTATTAACAGCCTCGTTTATTCTCTAGAGCTGATGGAGACGTGCAAATCTTCAGTGAAATGGCTGAGCACGGAGGCATTGACCATGTTGGGACCGTACCTCTCCGGTTTAGCACCAAACGATGTAGATTCTTCTCCCAAAGAAAAGGTGAGGCATAATGAGCCAATGAAACTTGAAATAGCAAATGACAAGATTCTTATTTGTGTTGGTTTTCTTCACTTTCTCCTGTAGCTGTGTGAATTCTTCCGTTCGGCCCAGTTCAAATCCGCCTTAAAAATGGCCGCCGCCATGAACCCCAGCCTGGCCGAGAAGTTTCTCCAAAAATTTCAAGAGTGCTTCAGTGCGGGGGCGTTTGCACAATATTTGGACAAGTGTGTATTCATGCATGGATGTGTGTACATTAGTGCATAAAAACTCTGGATTAGAACAATTCTGGCAAAATAATCTACCCTTATATAATTAATTTTCATATCAAATCATTTCCTGACTAAACAGAAGAGGAAAAATGAACATACACTTATTGTATCAAAGGTTTCCATACACTGTTTACCCTGAATACTAGGTTTTAACAGATAAGAGTGCATTGTACAGACAAATACTTAAGAGAAAAATACATCAGTTATAATATTTATGTACAAATAAATGTGCCTGACATTATAGAGAGCTGATTTAATTTCAAGGTTGGAATAATCACTACATGTTTGCCTTTGAAACTCCTCAGGCTCGGCCCACTGGCCTGTTATTATTACACAGTGCCAGACCTGTCATCTGACCTCAGCAAGCAACTCCTCTCTGAACTCAATAACTGCAACAACCCCGGAATCGAAACGGTATCGCTCACTCGTTCATAGTTTCGTTCAAACTTTCACCCATGTCCTCCCTCAGCCAGGACAGAAGTAATGAATTTAATGAATATCAGTCATCTCTCGATTACTCTTTGTCTTTTTTCCTCCTCCTGATTCAAGCTGAAGAAGCGCCTTGTCAAGTCTGTGATTTCAAAGTCCAGCACTACTAAAGCACTACTTGAACTGGGCAGCAGTGTTAACCTGTTGTCTCCCAAACAACTGTCCGAAGTCTCTGGCAACGATCTCAAAGAGATTCTAAAAAATCTGGGACCGACTGTCCAATGGACACGGGGCCAGCTGCGCGCCCTGGTCAAGAAACAGCTGGGTGATATAAAGGTGAGCTTGCACGGCCGCTGGAAGCTTGTTCCTCACACGCTCATCCACTCACTCTATATTCTGCTTTCCCTTAGTGTAAAAATGTGTCGGGTCAGGAGCTGAAGGCCCTTCAAACAGTTGCAGAAGGTTTGCCAAGGTGTTTGCTCAAGAATGTCAAAGCCCGGGAGATCCTGAATGACACAGAGGCCCTGAGGAACATCTCCAGGTCGATGAAGAAGGGGCAGCTGAAGGCCATGCTGCAGGGGGTGAGTAGGGAGAGAGAAGCAGGAAATAGAGGCTAATTCTATAGTTTAAGACCTATGCACATAATTTTAACTAAATGTTTCCCTGTAGCTCCGTAAGGGTGTGGATCCCTCAGAGCTTGTGCAAAAGTTGGATGGCGCTTTGCTTCACTGCGTTTCTCTGAGCAACCTAGCCAAAGCAAACATCAACTCTTTGGACCAAGTGGAGAATAAAATGTGGAGTCTGCCACAGGTAATGTCCCTGAATATCCCCTAGCTATTATCACATTTGATTATGTTTTTACATTTTTAACGTATACTGTATCATCACTATTACTGTTTTTCGTGCATTCGCATCAGAATCTTTCATAAATGTATCAAAAAATGGTGTGATGTTTCAGGCAGCCTACCTGGCAAAAAAGATGGACGATCTAAAGCAGCTTCAATATAGGTGAGATATACAGCAGTGAAATAACAGAAACCCCATTCATAACAATACAATTAAAAAAGCATTGCAATAAACATGTCTGCCATTGCTTTACATGTTTTGCATTTAAAACAGAGGGTCAGTCCTTCAGGGCATAACCTGTAAGATGATTGACAAAATAGCAGACGGTGATGTGCAACAGATCGCTCAGGCCATAACAGGGAGTTCACAGTGGCTCTCCAAAGTGCAGGTATGTATTTACTCTCATAGACACAAAAATAAAACATGTATTTGAGTATACCAGCTGATAACAAATATATGTTTTCAGGCAGGATGTGCTGCCCAAAAGCTTTTTTCGACTTTGGAGAACGAGAGAGCTGACTATTTCAAAACCATCACTTTGATGGAGATGGATAACATTCCCACATTCTTACTTCTTCAACTGCCGTAAACAAACTTTTCTCTGTCTCACTTAATCATGTATTTTTAAAAATCTGTAATAAGATGTAACAGCCCTCCATCTTTGTATCTCATTTACACCATCCCAGGCCTTCGAAGGTGAAGGATTTGCCTGACTCTGTGTGTCCCGTCTTCCTCAACAAGATGGAAGTGGCCAACCTGACCTCATTGCCTCGTCGTGCCCCGTCCCGCCTCGCTCTTGCCCAGAGAGCTCTGCTTTGCCTGGTCAATGTACGCACAAGGATACAGACGGGTGACAAATTAAAGTAAAAGCCAACATAAATTGCCTCAGTAAGGTGTCGCTTCTTGGTCTCTGGAAGTCTCTGGAACGCTACCAAAAATATTCCCTCATTTGGTGTTTTAATGAAAGGTGGTGGAGAGTCTAAGAGACTGTTCCAAAATCTTCCATAGAAGTTTAACTGGGTTTGGATCTGTTGACTGCGAATGCAATATAATACACTCATCAAACCGTTCAGTGAGTCCTGTATGGAAGCGTCATATGTTCCTCTATGTATCTATTTTTCTTTAAACTGTCAGCTGCCTGTACCTACTGTTCCACACCTAGTACAATCACTTGAGTGATTTTTTTTGAGTTTACTGTGTGCAACAACAGCCTAAGATATTTGCTGTGGATTTGCAGGGGAATGGCTTATCCGGACTGACCACTGAGAATGTGTCCAGGCTTGGACCACTCTTGTGTGAGCTTCAGCCTTCCCAACTGCGCCTCATGGCCCCCAATGTCCTCAACTCCAGCCTCCAAGCCATGGCTTCCTGCCAGCACATTCCCCAACACCACAGGGCAGATCTAATTCAGCTGGTCAACCAGACTTTTGGGTAGGACAGGCTCCCCATTAATGCTGAGGTTACTGCAGAGAAAGAAAGAGAAGAGTCTGATGCATTTCTTTTTTTTTAATCTTGTGCAGGGATGCATCTGATTGGTCAGCAGAGACTATGGAAGAACTGGGTCCGCTCCTCCTTTTGGATGATAATTCCACATCTGCTCTTCCCAAAAAGGTGTGTATCTTCACATGTCCTGGACAGTGATGGTCCTCATGATGTCCTATGTTTGTGCTTTTTCACATTTTCATCAAAAATGATAAATCACTCAAAAGTAAGACTGAGTTCAGCACTGTACTCTTCTGGTTACTATGATTCATGCATCTATTGTTTATTTTCCCTCTCTCTGTCTCTGTCAGCCTTGGATGAAAGACGTTCTCTATTTCCTGAAGTCACGCCTGACCCAGACTTCTGATGCACTGGAAAAGAAAATCTTCGATCTCACCACCGCCGTCACCACTACCGCATCAAATGCAGCGCGTAAAAAGAGAGCAGGTGAGGAAGACACATCTTGGGTGTGCTATACATTTTCTTCTCTTGGTTAGTGATACTGCACAAAACATTTGGTGATGTTGATTCTACTGTACTTTTCTTTTTCTCACTTGCTATGTGTCTCGTTCCTTTCTCTATCAGCCAGCACTGACAGTGCTAAGGTACCTACTGTGGAGCTGATTGAAGAACTGGGAATGGACAACATCTACTGGACAGCTGCACAGCTGGATCAGATGTCAACCGAGACCTTCCTCGCTACTGTAGAAACACTTGCTAAAATCCCTGACTACAGTGCAGACCAACTGGCCGTGCTCAGTAAAAAAGCAACTAAGGTACAGTGGAGGCACTCATCCTGGTTCTGTTCGTTCAGGGAGCAGAGGACTCCGCTGGCACAGTGAAGGAGGCAGAAAGTTCCTGGTTTATGTTATTTAGGGACTGACTGGGATGGCGCCTGAATCTTATAGTTCAAGCAGGCTTTTTTATTAAACTTACAATGGACTCTGCCCCTCATAATATCTCAAAATACTATAAGTGATGAATTGGTATAACTCGTTTAACCACAAAAACTAAAATAAAAATAATGTACTACTTAAAACCTATGTGCAAATGGAACAATAGTTTTCACAATATACTCCAAATTTCACAGCAGAAACTTTGGCAGACATGGAGATGTGTGTCCCAAACATTCCAGCCTCTCTATTTATGAACCAAGAGCTACTATCTGAATAGTTATTACCAATGTAAGTAACTCAATTAAGCTGCAACAGAAGGCAGCTCTGAAATAAAATATACAACTGGTGTGACATTTTTTTTAAAGACTCTCCTCTGCACAACCAAATAAGACCACCCTAACTGCAGCAAAAACAAAACAAACAATTTCTGACTCCTTCCCCTCCAAATCTTTGTACAGTCCATAATTAAAAACAGTATTGTGATGACAAAACTTAAAGTAAAAATCTGATTAATTTCAATCATAAGTGTTTCTGTGTGTTTCTGCAGGCCTTTGGCCCAGTGTCAGCAATGAATGAGACTGTGGTGACACAGATCGGCTGTATAAGTCAGGGCTTCTCCAACGCAGACCTGGAGAAGCTCCCCTTCTCACTGGACACTCTGGAGGAAATTGCCCACTGTGGTTGGAATGAGTCACAGGTGAAGTAATAAAAACAGCTATTCATATTCTATTATACTGACTATCATGATGTTCGCTAATCCAGTTGACCTGTCTGAATAGATGGAGCCAGTGTGGAAGGGTGTTGCTAAATATAACAACCTGACAGCGCAGCAGCTGGGAGCTACAGAGATGGTCTCACTGAGCCAGTTCATCTGCGGTCTAAACTCCACAGAGATCGGACAACTCAACATGGACGCCTTCAGGTTTGTCCTCCATACAGAACTCACTGATTCTGTTTATGTCACCACTTTCTGTTTGTTGTATTCAAATAAAACAAATAAAATGGGGGTGTAGCCTCACAAAATCAATACTACTAGTAATTTTAGATTGTTCAAGAGAGGGAGAGAAAAAAACATTATGCCAAATACTTATTATACTTTAAACATACAACAGCATTTAAAAAAAAGTAAAATTCTGTCTTTGTCTCTTGCAGCTAAAGGGGTTTACCCACCTCAACTACCAATACAAGAATTTTGATGACTATCCCCCCATTTATCTCTGCGCTCCATATATTATTTTTATAGCAATACTAATCAATCCTTAAACAAATCTGATTCAGCACAATCAAATATTTTGACTATGTTATAAGCTGCAGAGTGAGAAGATGTCACAACTACATAACGTGTGTGTGTTGGTGTGTTTCACAGGGATGCTGTGGGCTCAATGGATGGTGTTCAGTGCTCCTTCAATGTTACACGACAGTTGACAAATCTCGCTGTGTCCGCATTTGGACATCCCAGCACCTGGACTGAAGCACAAGTGGCTGACCTGGGAAACATCATTGGTTAGATAATCACCTCTACTCTGTGTCCTCTAAAGGAAACCAAATGCCATTGTAGTATTCTTCAAAAGTGTCAAAGCTCTGCAGCTTCTTACAAAACACATACCATCTATTTCTGTCTCCCTCAGCTGGGTTGGATGCAAGTGAGCTGGCTTCATTAGACGCGTCTGTCTTCTCATTTATCAGCGAGTCGTGCATCCCACTCATACCTCCAACAAACTTTGCTGTAAGTAACTTCCTCTCTAACATTTGTTCTTTCTTTTTTTAGCTGGGAGCCACATACAGTAGTGGAAAGTAACTAAATACATTTACCCAAGTACTGAGGTATTTGTACTTAACTTGAGTATTTCCATTTTATGCTACTTTATACTTATACTCGACTAGATTTCAAAGGGAAACATTGTTCTTTTTACTCTAGTACGGCACATTTATCTGACAGCTATGGCTGTTTAATATTCATTTTCGTACAAAATGCAAGAGCCATTTCTGTTACTGTTTTGCTTTTTGTTACTGTTTTGTTTTCTATTACTGTTTTGTTTTTGGTAAACCTCCCACCACTTGGGGGAGTGGTGCCGCTGTCAATAAGGAAGAGGGTTACCTGATACAGGTATTGATTAAGATGTTGACGGGGAGGAGAAGCACAGTTTTTGACCGTGCGGTAATAGTTGAGAAAAAATAATGAATAATAATATACATGTACATATATAGTATACATATATACATACATACATACATACATGCATAAATACATGAACAGTAGCACTATGAAAGGAGCTATTTGGCACAATGAGTACTTTTACTTTTGTTTGAGCGCATTTTGCCGATATTACTTGGGTACTTTTCCTCAAGTAAGATTTTAAATGAAATACTTTCACTTGTAACTGAATGTTTATACATCGAAATGATCTGAAAACATATTCCACTTCCTCTGTGCCACTTTCTGTTTTCCCTCCAGGCTCTCTCTGCTGCTCAGCTGGAGGCTCTTGGACCTGACAGCGCTGCCATGGTAACCAGTGAACAGCTAGGTGCCCTGGGTCCTGATCAACTGGCTGCTCTTGAAAGCACCACAACCGGGACTCGTGACCAAACACAAAACTCTGGCCTGTCAGGTAAGAAGATATATGTTCAGTGCAGTAAATGCACATATTTTTAGTGTGTTTAGATACTGCCAGTGCGTTTTAGAATTACTTCAATATGTCAAAAGCTTGTTTGTTCTGCTTTACAACAACCAGTAAAGTTTTATCCTGCTGTGAAAACTAGGCCAAAAAATCTAGTTTTATCCACAACAATAAATATACACAAGTAAACAGAGTTAACGTGGACATGAGAGGTGGAGTTGAGAAGTGAAATGAGAATATATTGAGCTTAATCATATGTATTTAACTAAAAGGCTTGAATTTTTGTATTACTCATAAAGATATGTATAAACATGTCATCGTTGCCCTGGGAGCTCCAGCAAGTTCCATGACATTTAGATTTACATATCGATAGATCCTGATTGGTGACATCAAACCAGTGAGAAAGACACAAATACAGATATCTCCAATGTAAAATAACCAAAACTATTCTAGCTCAGTGTGTCTGTGGGAAAATACGCTTTCAATGGTCTCTCAGTGGAGAAATCGTTGCATTTATTCTTTATGTCACTTTCATTTAGGAGCTCCATCACTGACTGTCGAGGGGATGTCAGCTTACATGAAGCCTCTCCTGTTTCTCCTCACGGGGTTCCTGCTGCTGTGAGAACAGAGAGCCACCACATCCTACTGCAAGACTGGCAGGAGCCTTAGCTAACCACACACACAGAAGTTATCGTTATAGTGCATTTTTGACAACATGTAATTCTTATGTTATTTGTGATGACGACATGTTTCTTGTAGATTGATTATCTGAGGTAATTTATGTGTGAGCGTAGGAGTGTGGCTGTAACAACTATATAACATAATCAAATGACCTGGTAAGATGTGTAAGGATTCTTTATTATTATTTTTAAGTTAAGTTTACTTTTAAATATTCTGTCTCTATATATTTGTAAGAAAGTATATTTTAATAGAATGAAGAGGAGTTTGTAATGTGTGTCCTCCATATGGGATGTCTTAAGATCGCATTATTTGGATATTTGTACTGACAAAATGGAAAATGACAAATGATTTAACTCAATAAAGAATATTAATCTACTGAGTACAAGGAATGTGAAGTGGTATTTAAAGGCAAAAAACAAGTTAAAGACAATGAGCTGTTTTTTATTGTTTTATTTATCTTTTTTTAAATAAACATTTGGTTAGAAATTGTTTGTCAATGCAAAAACAAAAAGTTTACGAGAGCAATGTGTGTTAAAGCATTGGATAATCTCCTGAGAAAGTAAACACAAGCGCAAACGGCTCACTGATGATTACTCAGTGATGGCGATGCATGAATATTAGCTCAATCTGTGGATCCTGTGGTCGGAAACATTTCAGCGAATCAACAGCTTGTGAGACATAAACAGTTTAAAAAAAAAAAAGGTGCTACTAGAGATAAAAATTAAATCAAAACACAGCACTCAGAACACGTTCTCCTCTCAGACGTTCTCATACTGAACAACAGTTATGTTAAACAGTACTGACTTTTCAGTTTCGTGTCCTTTGGTGTTGATGTGGATGCCAAGTTGTCCATCAATAACACAATCCGATCTGTGTTGACAGTCACTAATTCTTTCCGTTAACATAAAATTATATTCATCTAGTTAACCAGTGCTGAACTCAGTTATGCAGGACAAAGACTGAAGAAAATCTTAAAATACAAGGTTCTGCATGTTCTCATCTTCTTAGTAAAGCATAAGAAACAGACACGATCACATACATACTGATCTTTTTAAAGTAATCTTATTTAAAAAAAAAAAGAAAGACAAGCACATCCCCCAAACCAAAATATGTAATTTTAACTTCTAACTCTTGCACATAAAGAAGGAATAAATCAGTCAATCTGATATAATTACAGTACATTCCACTTAAAAAGGTATTTACTTTCATTTCAGTTTTACCCCATCAACTAGTAACAATTGTGAAGACTTCAGATTATTGCTGACCATTTCCCAAAGCATAGTTCAGTTTTTATCTTATCTTATCTTCACAAAGTTATTGGTCCACATTTATTTAAGTACAATATAAATATAAACATGCAGGGACTTAAACATTAAACATTTAAATTATGGGTTCACTTGCGCCTATGTACATCAAAAGAATTATTAGTCTGTAATTGTAATTATTCCTCCTGTCCGTACTGGTAGTGAAGAGATTCCTTCCCAACATGATTAATGAATTTAATAAATTGGCTAATATGAAGTTTCAGCAGTCTGACTTAGACAAATTAATTGCGTATCTTCCAAAGATAGTCTATATAGTACAAAATGTCCCCCTTATGATAGAAGTCTGTGAAAACACAAATAGGAAAGTAGATGGGTTACCTATCTTAAACAAAGTTCAAGTCTTAGTTTTCATATGGCTGCATTAAAGTTGGGAATCAGTTTAAATGTTATTGTATGTTTTTGAAAATGGCTGGCAATAAGTTGAAGTATACACACTTAATAGTAACGGAGCTATTCTAAACCAACGTGATAACTCTCTAAAAATATGTAAAAAAAAAAAAAGGACTTTACAGAATCTCCTCAGTAGGATGAAAACATTGAAATCAAAATATTCATCACTGGCTATCGACATTCAGTGAAACAGCCATTGTAATCACAGTAAGTTCTGGTTCTAACATTCAAAGTCCTCTACAGGCACATCATTATGTGAATGTGGTCACAGCAGTGAACTAGTCGGCATTACTGAATACAGAAATGCAGTATTAGATCCTGAGTGTCAGAAGTAGAGAGTTAAAGGGACAGTTCACCCTAAAATCAAAAATACACATTTTTCCTCTTACCTGTAGTGCTATTAATCCATCTAGATTGTTTTGGTGTGACTTGCAGAGTTTTGAAGATATTGGTCGTAAGATGTCTGCCGTCTCTCAAGTATAATGGAAGCAGATAGCACTTTGCTTATGGTGCTTAAAGCGCCAACAGCAATGTCAGCATTTTAAAAAGTTTAAATGTTTGTTTTGCACCACAAGCGAAGTGCCATCTGGTCCCATTATACTCCATAGAAGCCAGACATCTCTACAGCCAATATCTCCAAAACTTAGCAACTCAACAAATTGCACTACATGTAAGAGGATAAATATATATTCTTGATTTTGGGGTGAACTGTCCTTTATAGGCTGATCTCGACCAGTTTTTTTAATTTTATTTTTACAATCTATTCACATATAAACTGTTCTACCAATCTTTGGTTAAATTAGTGCATAGGTGTGTGCTACTTTTGATGAGAAGTCGACAAGAAATAAGGCACTTCTTTCTTTTATCACCTACCTGCACTGCTCTCCCCGTGTATTTGGTGTCTTAAGTAGTTTTTCCTGCATTCCTCGCACTGATAAAAGCCATACCGTGAGTCCTGAAGTGCGTATTAAGATCTGATGCCTTCTCAAATTTCTTGCGGCACACCTTACAGGCCAGTGTGCCCTCCTCTTCCATCCCCTGAGAGGAGGGCGATGCTGGTGCAGAACCACCCAGAGAACTCTTATCATCATGGTTCTTGCTGTTACCAGGGGAAGGCGCTGGGTGAACGCTGAGGGATTGCTGGTTGTCAGTGAATGTATTTCTCACTTTGTGGATGATGAAACGATGGCGTGACAGGGAGGAAGTGGATGTGAAGCAGGCGCCACACTGTAGACACTGCTGACCGCCGCCCTCCGTCCCTCCTCGTCGGTGCTGGCTGATATGCTCCAAGAACGATGCCTGATCTTCTGTGGTGAAGCCGCAGGGGGCACAGCGGAACCCAGACTCAGGAAGGGAGTAGGGGGCAGTGGTGGAGGAGGAGGACTGCGACTTCTTCACTGGACTCACCCCATCTGTGGAGTCTTCGTCCTGCTCCATCTTTACGGCTGCTCTCCGTCTCCGACGAGCCCCCAAACTGCCGTCCTGTTCTGAGGAACTGTCAGCCTCATCTCCGCCTCCCTGTGACCAGAAGAAATCTGCTGTTAACTACATCTTAGTAAAAAGTGTTTCATGTTTTCATCTTAAGAAATAGAGGAGTGTCTTACCATCATTGCGTCCTGGCTCTCTGTGTCCATGCTGTGTCTCAGCTGAATATGTCTCTCCAACATCGTTCTGCTGCTGAATGTTTTCTTACTCTCACTACAGAACCTACACACACACACACACACACACACTTACCTGTTAACTTATATTCACAAATATACTGAAGGTTCGGTTTCAGGAATCTTAGTTACACTTGATAGCCTGGCATCGCAGATTAGTCTGGAACCTCTCCATTAATTTTTGATTTCCAAGGAGCGCAGGCCAAACTGCTTCTGAACATAATTGGATAGTTGTGATGGAAGTGCTTGATCTGAAAAATGGCCGCCTGGTCACAAACTTCCTCACATTACAGCTAACTAAACACTCAAATGTGTTTCTGAAAACATTTGCAGCGAGAATTAGACAATGCAGTAACAAAAACTTGATTTAGATTTGATCAGCACTGCCTGGTTTGACAGTTTGAAGAAGAAAACCATATGATTTGGCAAAAAGATAAGAATAATTATATGACTTACCAGCCTATTATAGTTTTTTTTTTGCAAATAAATAATTAACTTTGCAGTCTGTCCTAAATTATTCCTTTTCACTCCCCACTTACTTAGACAACAACAATATACTGTTTTTGCAACTTTATTACATACAATCCATGAGGTTACAATGGAATCATTGTGATAATGGTTTCATCTCTTGGACGAAGAGCCAGCAAAGTCAGCTGGTGTATCATGGTGAGGATAAAGGATGCAGAATATGGGATACTCACTGGCAGCGAAAGCCACGATTCATGACTTTGTGTTTGTCTCTGATGTGACGTCTCAGACTGGAGGTGGTGGTGAAGGAGCTCTCGCACTTGTTACAAGGGAACTTCTTCAGAGTCTGCACAACATAAACACAAAAACATATGGCTACATCCACTCATTTATAGTTCTGTCTAAAAAACAAAATGAATGTAGTCAGATTATACGTCTTAGACAGTGGGGGGATGGTGCACTTCCAGACCTTGCTATGTTGTTCAGCCATATGGGTGATGTAGTCTTCCCGGTCTGTGTAGCGTGCGTGGCAAGGTGCACACTTCCACCCTGACGGGGTCTTCATCCTTTCTGTCTTCGCTTTCTCTTCTTTCTCTTCATTCATCCATTCCTCCCCATCTGAGCTCTCTAATGTCAATGCAGGACGTGAACGAGAGGAAGCAGCTGGAGGTGAAGGCAACTCTTGTTTTAGCGTGGGAGTCTTATGGGTCTGAAGAACAAAGTGAACAGGGGGAAAATGACATTATAATTATCTTATTATTGTCTGTACACTAACTGACCTATATTAGACTCTATATAAGCATGCATATACCTTGAAATGATCCAGTAGGGAATTCCTCTGAGAAAACAACTTGGTGCACTCAGGGCATTTAAACACATCCACCTTCTGATTGGTTAAATGAGTGTCAAAGTGGACGTACAGCAGGGGCTTGTTTGTAAAAACTGTGTCACACATGACACATTTATAGATTGACCTGTAAAGGGATAAAAAGTGGGTCAACTCAAAGGAAAACATTTTTCATGAGATAAAGCACGTGTGTGTGTGTATGTATGTATACATGGTCTGTCTTTCAGTGAGCGTTGGATGTTGGGCTGTG